AAATTTAGGGCATACCAGTGGTTTTTCTTATGCGGATAAATTGTATCACACTGAGGTCAGAGCTTTCAGTGTACTCATCACCAGAATAATGTACACTGTACTCGATAGGTAGATTCAAAATTAACATTTCAATGAAATGAAAAGGCACCATAGGTTTTTAAATAACAAACCACAACTTCATAGAAGATATTTGCAACATAAAAGATTAAAAAAATTATTCCAATAACATTAATTTGAACTGTGTAAAATTGCTGATATTCTATGGTTTTTGATGTGTACAATAATGACAATTTCATTTGATCTAATGAAATAACTCAACTAAATCAATAAGAAATACAAACACCAATCAAAAAGTGGTTTAAAAAAAGTTTGATTATGCAAATGGGGAATTGATATTGCCTGAGGCTTGCAGGTAAAATTTAACAGCAATGGCTCATAGACATCATTTACTCAGTCAACAATTTCCTAAATGTAGGAAGGGGAACAACACATGCAAATTCTAGAATTAGTAAAAAAAAAAAAAAAAATGAGTATAAATTGAGTAGTATACCCACCAATGCTTTTCTAAGTAATAAAGGAGAAATGCAAATTCTAATATTAGTAAAATAAATATGAATATGAGTTTACTGTTAGACTCACCAATGTTCTTCTAAGTATTAAAGGATATAACTTTGTTCTGCAACAAGCAATATTCCTGCTGCAATTTCTGAATTATCATTATAGACTGTTTAAAAGAGAATATAAAAAGATAGTTTCTCATTATAAATAATGTCAACCAAAAAAGACAAAAGTTTCATTGCAATTTTATTAATTGCATCTTGAAGAACAATTCCCATTTTCTGTTTTGAACTATGGCACATGAAATCATCCATAAATGTTCCTTACACTAATTAACTGTACTCAAACTTGTCACACACTTTCTGAAAATATAGCAAACACAACTATATATTCTTGGTTTTGAGATGATGTTCCTCTGCTTTTAGCTTACTTCTAGGTGGTGGAAATAAAGATTAATGGATCATTTGGTATATCACTGCTTAACTCTGTTAGAAACCTCTTTTTGCTTTTCAAATTACTATATAATGAGGCACAACCAGAAGAAATTTAGAACAGAATTGTTAACTTAGAGCGCTTTTTCTGTTTGACTGCTTACTAGCAAGACATTATAAGCCAGTTTATATCCTAAACAAAGCAAAAATAAATATAATTATATACCTATTTTGGTGAATGGCTATCATTTTTTGGAAATCTTAGTACAGTACTATATGGTACAGAAGATTTAACATTTTTACTTGAAGTCGTTTGAATGCAATGTCTGTCCACCTATTTGAGTATTTTGGAAACCAGTAGGACATTGATGACCAGAAATTGAAGAGCAATGGGTTGGAATCACTTCTTCAATATCCAATAATGAGGTAGCTCAGTGTTCCAAGGTTTGTAAATTTGCCAATATTTGAAAAAATCCCAACTGAAATAATCATTTTGCCCAAATAACACTGCGCACAGTAACCAAAATTTTGTTTGTTTTCGGCTATAATATCAGCATGAGAAAATTAATGTTCCCATTTTAAGTAAATATATGTCTTTCATTAATCAAAATGAGAAAATAGATTAATAATTAATATATACAATGTAACTGTAGTTCATGAGATGGGGATGAATGACAACAAAAATTTCATCTTGGTGGTGAAATTTTGAGAACAGTAGAGCTAACACAGAACCAATCACTTCTTACTGACTAGTTTTGCTTTGAATTAAGTTTTGCTTAAATGTTCTTAACCATTGGTTTAGATGACCAGTATATATCTCCATATAATTAATTGACACATGCAAAATGGAGCACTTGTTCTTATGACTTCTAATTTTGTTCTTATTGTGTAACCACTATAGGTCTTCTCCACAAAATTTTATTAATAATTATGTGGCATATCTCCTCCAATTGGCAATAAATAGGGCTTTTGCTGTATCTTAATATGAATGCTTTAGGCCACGACTGACTCTTCATTAGATACCCGTGGGAGTCAACAAAGTGCACTGTTTTTATGTCACATTATCCTGCAGTCTATCTTATAGAGCTTCTCAAACATGGCTTTCAAATATGGTGACATTCTATCCAGTCAACTTTGCTTATCAGGCTAAATGAAAGAAAATTAAGCTTACTTATGGATGTATGGAGACGTAGGATAATGCATGTCTTCTGGAAGGACACTCGAAGATTTATTTTTATAAAAGGAATATTTTGCATTTATAAGGTGATGGCAAAACTCCATTAGTTCATCATGGGACCCCAATCATTCAACCTGTTATGGTGTGGATGTTTTGGTCCATACCAGTTGAAAAAGTGGGAAGAGGGGAGAGGGGAGACAGCCTGAATGGTCCAGTAGAGATTTATGAACTAGAAAAACAAGTGTTGTTTGGGCAGCCATTTTGAAATGATGCAAATTATTGTTAATTTTCACTTTTTCCAGATAATTCTCTCAGCATTTTGGCAAAGCATAATGGATTCAACCGCCAGAAGCAAGAAGTCTATCTTTTACCAATCGTAATCAGTGATAGTGGAAATCCTCCGCTGAGCAGCACCAGCACCCTAACCATCCGTGTCTGTGGCTGCAGCAATGATGGTGTTGTCCAGTCTTGTAATGTTGAAGCATATGTCCTTCCCATTGGACTCAGTATGGGCGCCTTAATTGCCATATTAGCGTGCATCATTTTGCTGCTAGGTATGTATTTCCTACACTGCCTAATGGTTACCATTTTTTCTGGTTCAAAAATGACTATAAATAAGGACAGCAAATTCTTACCTGGCCAGGTATCAGCATTCTTTTGAGGAAAAGAGACTTTCTTTCCTTCTCCGTGGGTTGAGATCACTCTCTTCACCTCACAAGAAGAGGTGAAAAGAAAAAGGGTTGTGACAGTCAATGTCCAGTTGGGGAGGACTTTCCATGCCTTTTTCAATTCCGTCACCAGTAAAACAATGGATAAAGCATAATGGCGGTGTTAGTGGGGAAGAGCCCTTATGTGGTTACCACAACACCTATTACACAAAAACATCCCCAGATCTTCTGAGACACACCAGTGTACTACAACTGGGAGCTCTCCTATGCCCACACTATCATTTCACCTAAACAATGTATAAATTGAGTTGTTAAGTTCATCAGATCAAAGTTTGGTGAGATAAAAAGAAAACAAACAAGCAAACAGAAGCCGTGTTTTCTTCAAAATAATATTGTGTTCCTCAGATATCTTTCTTGATATTAACATCCAATTAAAATGAAGATTGCAAATTAAGGGAAGCTTCTATAACCTTTTCATTCAAAAATCCAATTATAAAACTGAGATTAGATAGTAAAAAAATATAAAAAAAGAAGAGTTATATCTTATCCTGCCCTTAAGACATCAAAAACCTTAAAGATGGTGTCAGTTACTGTCTTCCCGGTTACATCTGTCTTGCTCACCCAGTGCCTTGAATTGAAGCATCACTTTGCTGACATATTTTGCTTCATTAGCCCAAGTTTGATTTGGCTGATCTAGCTAGCTGGCTATGTGTTCCTTTCCCATCCCCCACCGTTAGGCATCCCTTCTGAGATTGAGGTATTGTAGCTTCATCCAAGACATGCAACTTTGGCACTCACTTCTTCTGTGAAAGAATGTTATTTGATTGGAGAGTGTCTTGAAGAACTGTTAAAACACAGACTATACTAGATATGATGTAGTGTGCTCCTTTTTCTTTGTGTAAGGGAGACTTGAAACCAAAATATATTAAAGGACTTGCCCAAGTCACACAGCAAGTTAGTCGTGCTATCAGTGGTATTTTCAATTTGTGCCATTCACTCTAGTGATCGTAACAATGTAAAATGTAACTTTCACCAGGAATAGATGCAATCTGATTCTTTTACCCAGCTCCATCACCTTTTAATAAACAGAAGTAATCTGGAGTGGTTTTTACTCAAAATTCAATGCTCATCTTTCAGAAAGGTGTTTAGCTTAATTCCCTAGTAAATATTATTAAAGCTGTATGCCCATACACTTTTTTAAAAAATGCCCCTTTCTCTTAATATGTATGGTGTGTTTCTTATGACACGATACGCTCGTTTGGCTAACTGCTATTTAATATTTTTCCTGCAGTCATTGTGGTGCTGTTTGTCACTCTGCGGCGACATAAAAACGAGCCATTAATTATCAAAGATGATGAAGATGTTCGAGAAAACATCATTCGCTACGATGACGAAGGAGGAGGGGAGGAGGACACAGAGGCTTTTGACATTGCAACGTTACAAAACCCAGATGGAATTAATGGATTTTTACCCCGTAAGGATATTAAACCAGATTTGCAGTTTATGCCAAGGCAAGGGCTTGCTCCAGTTCCGAATGGTGTTGATGTCGATGAATTTATAAATGTAAGGCTGCACGAGGCAGATAATGACCCCACGGCCCCGCCATATGACTCCATTCAGATATATGGCTATGAAGGGCGAGGGTCTGTGGCTGGCTCCCTCAGCTCCTTGGAGTCCGCCACATCAGACTCAGACCAGAATTTTGACTACCTCAGTGACTGGGGTCCCCGTTTTAAGAGACTGGGCGAACTCTACTCTGTTGGTGAAAGTGACAAAGAAACTTGACAGTGGATTATAAATGAATCACTGGAACTGAGCATTCTGTAATATTCTAGGGTCACTCCCCTTAGATACAACCAATGTGGCTATTTGTTTTAGAGGCAAGTTTAGCACCAATCATCTATAAACTCAACCACATTTTAATGTTGAACCAAAAAAAATAATAATAA